TATGAAATATTCTTCCAAAAATTAAAAAACAAACCTGAAACTAATAAAGATTCTACGCTTGCTACTTGTTAACAGAAAATAAAGGGGATTGAAGACCATGGTAAACACCACCACCGGGATGCAATAAGGACAATACAGACTGGTAATCTATAGCACAAGCATATTACAAGAAAAAACAGAAAGGAAATGGAAAGGAAATCTAAAAACAGTTAAAAGAAATTTAAGGGACTTAACAGTGTAAAGTATGGACCTTGATTTGAAAAAGTCAATGCAAAAAAAGCTGTGAAACACTGAAGAGCAATATGAATGCTCACTGGATAGTTCAAGATGATGAGAACACGACTGAGGTACTCTGTTCATATATTTTCATTTGAGGAGGGTTGGGGGGACTGGGACTCAAACTCAGGACCTCAAGCTTGCCAGGCAGGTGCTGTGCCACTGAGTTAAGTCCCCAGCCCTATTCATATATTTTTAAAGACACTACTTTTTAGGGAAAATTTTAAGAGTGAAATGTTTCTTAAAAAACTAAAATTTGAGTTCTGGTAAACTGGGAGACTGATGCAATATGCACAAAAAAAGACACCAAAGACAGTGGCTACCAGAGAGCGGGAAAGGTGGAGGCTAGAGGAGAGAGAGAGAATGATTAATGGTTAGGGGGGATGCAGTTGGTTAGAGCTACTTCAAAATAGCAGGTAGAGAACATTTTGAATGTTTCCAACACAAAGCAATGAAAATTGTTCAAGGTGATAACACATACCAATTACACTGATCTGATCATTACACACTGTATACATGTACTTATTGAAATCTCACACACTGTACTATATAAGTATGTATAATTACCACATGTCTACTAAAAATTATATATATATAAAAGATACCAAAGATGTTAGGCTTTTAGGTTCTGTTTCTGCCAGTTTCTTATGCTCCCATTACTAGAAAACTTTCAATAATGAATCTTTAATGAGAATGACAAAGGAAAACAGAAAATAGAGGCAAACGCAAACCATCCCAGTTTTTCCTGTGATTATCATATAAAGGACCAGTTTCTTTTAAAAAAAAGGAGAAAAGCAATCAACAGCCCTACAAGATTAAAGATTGCTCTTCCACATGGTAACTAAAAATAAAAATAGGGTGAAAGGCAACAAAGCATAATGCTCTGAACTCACACAGCTCTTTAACTTTTTAAAGTTCTTTAAAGTAAGTCATTTATCTCTTTTGACCTTAACAATAACCCTGGAAAAGGGACAGGAGAAAGTGTCATTTCTTAAAGAAAAATAACACTAAGAGATCATAAAACTAGTTGGGGAATCCAAGTCTTCTCTCCATCCCTATTCTAATACTTCTAGCATTAACATGTTCCCTTCTTAACCAATTTGGTTTAATTATTCTGTACAAAGGAAAAGCCTGCTCAGATCTCTTATTAGCATTACAGTTAGAAATATCTGACACGTGGCTCAGTGAAGTTACCAGCAATTGTGATTATTACTCCATGCTGGATAGTTCCCAAGAATTTACTTAGTAGGAACAGCTCAAAATAGTTTGAAAGAGCCAGAAATTAGGAAATTTCCACCCTATCAAAAACCACCCATAGGGGAAAAACAGAAATATCAAATTATGAACTTAAAAAATTTGTGTACGTATGCACATAGATGTGTATGTTGTGCAAGGTAGGGATAGAAAGAACCTTGTATATTAGGCAAGAACCTGATTTTGTTTTCCAACTTAATGGATTGACATTTACCCCATCTATTTAAATATGTCCCAATTTCAACTGAAAGTACAGACTAGGAATACTCTATATAAAATGTGAGAATATCCATCTTGTTAAATGTAAATAATCCAATTTAAAATAACTCAGATTCTGTACTTTCCCACCTATTTTGACTCAGTAAAAGTAGAGCAGTAGACCCTAAGTAGCCTAAACTGTGGGCCCACAAATGCTATACCTAGGAAACTTCCAGTTCATCACTCTCATGGCGAACACTCAAGAATGGGATGTATTGTTTGCTCCAATTACTTGTTTCACGTAAACACTAGAGGACATATGCAGAATACCTGGATCAGTGGAAGGATGGAGGTAGAGTTGTCATCAGCAGCAGCTTTGAGCATACTGTGCTACCCATTCAGTTCCCATGTCCTTTGCTAGTACAGAAACTTTCTGCTCTCAAACTGTCTAATATTTCCTCAGTGGCATCACTGACCTGCTATGTCAACCACACAATAAGCAACTATGCCCAACATTACTTCAAATCATTGCAGTCTTATCTTAGGAACTATTTCCCACTCAGAGGCTTTCCCTAAAATATCTGAAATTCTACAGACAAGCCCACTGCCAATGAAATATCTAGATTATTTGGGCATATCTGAGAAGAGGAGAGAAAAGTCTGCCAAACCATCATTATGAATGTCCCACAAACCTATAACTAAAACGCAACTTGATTTGCAGGAATGAATCCTCTTTCTAGTCATTCTCTCTGGATAACTTAGAAACAAAATTTGAAATAGAATAACATTTACATATCACCCACTGGTATGTATTATGAATTGTGCTACCTACTTTATGAAACCTCTCATTTAATCCTAATACCCTTCCAATATTTTCACTATAATTCTTTTTTGATAAATTAATAAAACAAGATTGAAGAATGTTAAGTCACTTGTTCAAGGTCTTATTTTTAAACCTACTATATGGCAGAACCAAAAGCTGACCCCAAGTCAGTAAAACATCTTTATGACTTACTCTTATTAGCCAATTTGCTTACCAAAGGAGTTATGACTTATACTGACACTAGAAATAAGGGTATTTCTAATTGAATTTTTTAGTGAGTAAAATTAGTAACTCTAATACATAGCAAAGTCTACCAAGGTTACCATGACTGAAACCAATTTAAATGCAGTCAATCAATTCCTCTTTTCATATATCCTAAGCTGAGAATCCACACCAAATCTCTTTTCACCAGGCGGACCTTGTATAGGAAGAGAAGAACAATGTTTACTTCAACTATAGCATCTTCAAATATTTGGTATATGTAAGGATACCAGAACACCACTCAGATTTTAAAATCTATGAGTAATGTTTCTACAAATTTTCCCAGACAAATTTATGTTAGTGTACCTTTAAATAATGAATATTTGAGTTTTACTATAAATGAAGAATTTCAAAACATATATGCTTTCATTTACTCAAAGCACTATACAAATGGGCTTAAGAGTAACACATAAAAAACTTCCTCTAGCCAGGTGTGGTGGCACATGCCTGTAATCCCAGCACTCAGGAGGCTGAGGCAGAAGAATCACCACAAGTTTGAGGCCAGCCTCGGTTACACAGTGAGTTCAAGGTCAGCCTGAATTGCATAGCAAGACCCTGTCTCAAACAAAAAAAAAAATCGTCTACATTTTATTATATAGCCACTCTGGTAAGAAAATAGGATAAATCATAACTCACTTATAGAGTACTTACTATGTACCAAATACTTTATAGATGTATTTTCATTTTGCATACAAAAGCCTGTGTGATTATTATCTTTATTTTATAAGCAAAAAAATATGGTGAGAAAGTCATATAATTTGGTCAAAGTAACATTGCTACAAAGTGGTACAGCTAGAATTCAAATCCAGGTTGTCTATCTCCAAAGTCCACGCTCTTTGCCATTACTGATTGCTGCCCTCCCCATTTTTATTTGATAAATATATTCTTGCCCTTAATTCCAAAACCACTACAGACATTCATGTGCCCATACTTAAACCTTCATTAACTATATCTATTAACTTGCCATAGCTTCTAAAGTAAAATTATTAAGAAGTATCTGAAGTACCATCATAAATTCAAATTCAAATAATTCATATTATTCTGAGAAGTCAAACACAGATAATCTACAAAACAAAAACTGTTTCAATGCTTCAGAGTTATTCTTACATTATGAATACAGTATGACCAGGAAATCTTAAGAAAATTCAAATAACTTGTTTTAAAAAACTCCTTTCCCTCTGGCCAGACTGTCATCTCCAGCGAGGAGTCCTGGGTAATCATGGCTATGGAGGAACAAGAAAACAGCCTGTTGCTAGACACAGGTGCAAGTCTCTCGGTCCTTCTTTTCAATCCTGGCCTTCCTTCCAGCCATCATACCTCAGTGAAAGGAGTCACTGGTGAGGAGGTAATATGCTATTTTTGACAACCCTTAGGCTGTAACTACTTATTAGATCCTTCTTGCATATCTCTGTCTTCCTGAGAAACCACTTTGAAGATACCACCATGTATTACAGCAGCCATTGATATTTTCCTACTAATCTATCCATAACTGTGTAAAGTTTGTAATGTTCCTATCCTATTTCATAAATGGATGTATGTTTATTATTATGTGTTTCCTACAACAACCATTGAGAATAGTTAATGATTTTTCAATAGGTCACTCATGTATAGCTCTATTTATTTTCTTTAGAAGGCACTTTGAAGATACCAAAGTATAGTACAACAACTCTTGATAATCTCCTACCTCTTTTGTCTGTAACTCACTATTATTTGTCTATTTGTTTTCCTGAGAAACTACTTTGTAGATAATAATATGTAAAACGATAACCATTGATAATTTCCTACCATTTTGTCTGTAATATGCTAAGTCCCCCCTATTATTATGCTATCCTTGTTTTACTCTTTAAAATAAAAAAAAAAACTCCTTATATTCACTACTTTATGACTAAACTGCACAGGAGATTCTGCTCTTTTATCTAAAGTTTTTTACTAGCCAAGTAATTATTATAACTAGAATAATTTAAAATTTCGGAATGGTGTTTATCTCCCACGTTCTAGTGTTTCAAACTTAATATGTCTAAAAAAAAATCAAGAGTAGCATTCTCCAAACATAAACTCTTTGATCTCTTAGAACATGAATCAAAACAAATATAATGTTTAATGTACAGGATACAGTTGAAAATAGCATACTGACAGGCAATGTTGAGTCATTTTTTTAAGATAAGTCAAAGGATAGATTAGATCTTACCTCCATTGCTAAAGCTGCTGTCTGTTGGTCATAATGATTCAGAAGATTAGGCATGAAGGTAGTATTATAAGGCAAATCTTGGCACATCCTCAAGGTAATAGGTTCACAAGAAAATAAACTGTGCCCACCTATATGCCCCACAAACACAGTCAAGAGCCAAAGACAGAAGATGATCCAGCTTATAGCCATTCTTCCAAGATACGGATGATCAGGCCTACTCAATATGTATGTCAGGTCAACATATAACTGCAGGACTTGGCTTGAAAGAACTTCTGTATTCCACTGTTAAGTTCTTCAATCAGTTAAACACTCTGTACCATCAGAGGTTTGTTAGCTTGGTCTCACAAAAGGCATTTGTTTGTGGTTTCACAATATGGGAAAATTACATCATCTTGTCTCTTCATTTTATTACAGAGGGCACATTTGGCCAACATATCAAGTTGATCAACCACATTCCCAAATCACAGATTCCATCTTAGGAGAACTATTTCTTCCTTTGATTGAATTATCTGAAAAGTATTATTTGAAAAGGGAGAAATTAGTCATTTCTTCTCAAAATATGTCATCTTGACATCAAAATCTTTGATGAAACATATGCTCATCTAATAGATAAAAATACACTTCATAAAGATATAAGGTTTTCTACTTCTTATTTATGCTATATATATACTAAAACAGTCCTAAAATAGCATTAATTTTCTTTTCTTAGCTACTTGTGTAACACATGGTTTAATTTCTTATCTATGATGAAATTTTTCATTTGTCACAAGATAAAACTGATTCATTTTGAAAAATTCTTATGGTTTTGTCCTAAATTTTATTTAAATAAAATTTATTGTAACTTAAATTATTGAAAATTTATTATGTGCTTTAATCATTAACTGTAATTTTTTACATGAATCGATCTGGCAGAGGCATCTGTGAAAGGTCTAAAAAATAAATCAAAAGATAGATTTGAGCCTCTTACTAGCTGTATGAATGTAAACATACCACTGAACTTCTCTACGCCCATAATTTTTCTTCCTGAAAATGATTCCAGTAACACCTCTTTCACAGAATGAATATGAATGAAGATAATGATAATATATGTAAAGATACTTCATAAATGGTAGAACAGTATGCTAGGTATTTTTATTACTGAATTACATTTTATAAAAATGCTAACTTTATTAACTAATACTGAAAAATAGTTCTAAAAGTAGTATCAGGCTGGACATGGTGGCACATTCCTGTAATCCTAGCACTTGGGAGGTAGAGGCAAGAGAATCACTGCAAGTTTGAGGCCAGCTTGGACTACATAGTAAGCTCATGGCCAGTCTAAACTACATAGTGAGATCTTGACTCAAAAAAAAAAAAAAAAAAAGACTATCAGGCAATTTTTTCAACATTATCTCCTTTAGACAGCATAAATAAAAATTTAATATCATGGATTTAGCCCTTGAATAAGAACAACTGACCCAATGAATGGTCACTGCACACAGGCTGCATGAGACTAGAAATTATCCCTAAAAAGTCACAGTAAGAATAGCAATGATTCCCAGTTATTTCCACTGAGCTTACAATCTCTGCTTGCCCCTACTTTCTTTTTTTTTTTTTTTTTGGTAGCGGGAATCGAACTGAGGACCTTTTGCTGGCCAGGCAGGCGCTTATGGCACTGAGCTATGACCCCAGCCCTCCCTACTTTGGAGGGAGAAAAATACGAGTAATTCTCAACTGGGGCACATGGGTAGAGCAGTAGACAGGTGTGGTATGGAAAAAGCATATTTTAAATCATCATATGTTGATGTGAATTGGTATTCATGTTTACTTTGGTTTTATTGAATTGTTTCATATGCACTGGGTATCCTTGCATCTGCTGCGGACAGCCTAAGTTGACAAAAGATGAGCAATTCAGATTCACAAATTCTCAGAGACCAAGGTTAACAAGACAACTCAAATACTGGCACCCATCATAGCTTAGACCTTAACACCTGTAATGAGCCTGGCCAAACCAGGGAAAGAATCTGTCCTTCATGCACTGATTGTCAGTGACTGGGACCTCTATATCCCCAGCTTCAGTTAGGAGGCAGAAAAATATTTAGAGAAAACAGAGCTTGAATCTTCCCCGACTCTAGAAGGAAGTCTTGAGTGGTGGAAATAAAATGGGAGTTTGGACTCTAGAATTACCAACACTGAGGTTATAAGCAATCCCTGCTCAAAAAGTCCAACTCTCCCACACTCTACACCAGAGATTTCTGTGACAGCCTTCTGATTTGCCCTATTTTTTTTCTTTCAGGTTGGCCCCAGAAAAGTTGAGGTTTGGCTGTAGAAAACTGATTAAAATAGTTAAAAACTTATTTAAGCTTAATTACTTTGCACCATGTAACAGTCATACATATCATTAAATACATGTCAAATAATTGTTAAAAGCTTGTTAGTTTACTGTTTATGCAACTTAAGATTAATTCCGTACTGAATACAATACCAAGAATTTCAAATTTTCCATTGCGATTAATCTCTTTTCCAAGTAGTTATGGGTTTCATACCCATGCTTCAAAGACTACCTGAAGAAGACCAAAACTAGAGGAAGAAACTGATCAAACCTAATTGTGTTTTTGAAACAACATGAAATGCCCTCTTCTACTTCTTCTACTTCATCTATTTAGTTATTCCTTTTACCTCATTGCAAGTATCTTACATTCTTATGAAAGTGCTTCCAATGCATGTCATCCAACTTACCTATGCCAAAATATTTTTATAAAATTTGTTAAACTGCAGACAAAAAATAATCTCAAAATGACAAGATTATAGTTCATGATTATTTAAAAAGGGTAAAAGTGGAATATAGTGAGCAAAAAAGAAAATATGCAGATTAAAGGTCTTAAAGAATTTTCACCCCCCTCCAACAGTGGTTCTCTATTATAAAAGTATAATGAATTCAGGAATCCCTCTACAGGTGTAAGAAATCTGAATCCTGGAGAATGATATACATTCTAGTGATTCCCTCAGGTTATAAGTACTCTAAGTCAGGTCTGGAGAAACACTATCCCCAAATAGGAAAATTTTAAAGTAAAAGTGTATTTGTATATAATAATTTACACAAAATGAGTTTGAAAATAAAAGCAAAATTAGAACATTTTAATAGAAAAATAAGCAGAGGACATAATTTTACAAAAGAGATACAAATAGCCCATAGATTTGTGAAAAGATATTTAACTTTACTAATAATTTAAAAATGCAATCATAACACTTGGCAATCAGATGAGCAAAAATAAAAATGATAGAACACAGCATAGGGGAGGGTATAGGGAAAGGAACATTTTCAAAATCTTCAAATACTGTGGCTAGGAATAACTGGTTGATACTTTTTTTAAAGAAATGGACTCTAGTATACTTATGGTTTCTTGGTCTTTTGACTAAAGTCAATCTAGAATCTGTTCTTAGCAGTTTAAAAATGGCTTTTTAGCCATGTGTGGTGGTGCATGCCTGCAATCCCAGTACTCAGGAGGCTGAGGCAGGAGAATCATGGCCAGTGCAAGACCAGCCTGGGCTATAAAGTGAGCTCAAGGCCAGCCTGAACTGCATATCGAGACCTTGGCTCAAAAAGACAAAAAACAAAACAAAACAAAAAAAAAACAAAAAACGCTATTTAAGGGCATGGGATGTAGCTCAGTGATAGAACACTTGTCTAGCATATGTGAGGGCCTGGGTTCAATCCCCAGCACCACAAAGCAGAAATAAAATAAAATAAAAAATGGTTTCTTGAATCAAAAGCCCTAAAAATGTATACAATTTGATCCAGAAAACCTACTTTATCATTTATTCTAATAAACATACAATTATACATTCTGCATAATTAAAATAGTAAAGCAATACTGTTTATTACCAAAAAAATGGAAGCAACCTATAAGTTTACCTGTAAGGGATTGGTTAAAGAAGTTATCATACAATCACATAATAGAATATTATGTAGTCACTAAAAATAATGAGCATAGCTCATTGGTAGTGTGTACTTAGCATGTGCAAGGCTGTGTTCAATCTCCAACACCAAAAAAATACAATGCATTTATTGATATGGTGATTAAAAAAATTAAATAAAAATGGTTAACAAACAGGATGTGTATGTATTCATAACCCACTTTTATCAGAAAAAAATAAGTGTGAGGAATATAATTAAACTATTTCAATTATTTAAAATAATATAAATGTGCTACAGAATTTTATAAAAGAACCAATGTTACATTGTTTCATATATGGAATAACTTACTACTAAACCTATGAATATATGCTGACTGGCTGACAAAAGTAAATACTAATTGAAGGGTTTAACCAGTTGAATTGCTATTTAAAACAAGCCAAGGGACACACTACTTGTCCTACTGTAGGTAATAAGAAAATCAAAAATGTGATGATTAATTTAGTATAATTCAAAACTTGATTTTTCAACACAAAAATGAATCTACTGAATCAAATGGTACGAATATATTTAAGCTCCGATCCATATCCCAAATCACTCTTCAATAACATGAAATAGCTACTTCTAATCAGGACCATGCAAATATGGCATTTTTCCTAAGGTAGAGTCATCCAAGGAAAAGCTCTAAGTTGAAGTTTCAGACCTGCAGGGTGTAGACAAGATTGTGGACTGCAAAGATCTTGCCAAGAGTTAGATAAGAGTTTAAAAAAAAGAGTTGTTTTGGGCATTCTTACTGATACCATATTTTCATTACATGAATCTGCAGTATTTCATAAATCTTCAGTAGAAAAGAACCTACTTGGTTAACACACCTGGAGTGCATGGTTTCAAGCACTGGGCCCAGGCAATGTGAATGCTATGGCAATGTTGTTCATTCACTATCTGTGGAAAAAGAGGTACTTTCACTTCTCCATGAACCACGTAAAATATCTGGAAAGCCGATTATAGCTTAAGTGGTAGGGTACTTTCCTAGCATTCTCAAGACCTTGGGTTTGAGTTTTCTTTTACTGATAATAAGTAAAAGTCCTTAAAATAAGATCAGCTGAGTCCTGAAGGCCAGTAATAAAGGCACAGGACGCAACTTTGGAAAAGTTGCAAGGCCAGACCCAAAGAACTCAGAACTGTGAAGAGGAAAGCAAGATGAATCCCTGAAGAACTATGAGAAAAACAGATCCTACAGTCTTGTCAAGAGGGTTTGGCAACAAAAGATTATGTCCAGCAATTCTATTCCAACATTTTCTCTAGAAAGGTATGTAGGGGCTGGGGATTTAGCTCAGCGGCAAAAGCGCCTGCCTGGCAAGCACAAGGTCGTGAGTTCGGTTCCCGGTACCGGAGAAAAACCAAAAA